GGGCCCCCCCCCCGTCCCCTGGCAGGAGCCGTGGGCACTCACATGTCACACTCAGGCTGATGGCCTGGGACGTGTCACTGCCCTGGTCATTTGTCACCTTGCAGGAGTAATAGCCGGTGTCGCTGGCGGCTACATGGTGGAAGAGCAGGGTGTGCACCGTGCCCTCCTTGAGCCAGGCGCTGTTCTTGTACCAGGTGTAGTTGAGGTCCTGGCCCTCCCTGCCAGGGACGTCACAGGACAAGGTGGTGGCCGTCCCCTCCTGCACCTCGGCCGCGGGGCTCACCAAGATCTCTGCAGCTGACGGAGATGGGAGCATGTTCAGGATGGCCTTGGAGGCAGGAGAGCAGCCCCCGGCTGTAGAGCCCCCCGCCCCCGCGGTGTGGGACAGAGTCCGGGGACAGGGGGGAGTCCCTCTGCCCCCCAGTGACGACGGAGGCGGGAGGCATTTGGGTTTCTTCCCTGCCACTGGCACCTTGCCAGCTGGGGTTCAAGTTCTGGCTTTAATGCAAAGCCCCAGGGGCAAAACACATGGCGGGTGCAGCAGCGTCCTTCGCCTCTCATGGTCTGCGCAGGGGGCTCTGGGGGGAGCAGACTGGCCCCACCTGCTCCAGGCTGGGGGGCAGATGCTCCCCGTGGGGCTCCTGGGTGATACGGCAGTCTGGGGCTTGTCTCTACTGCAGGATCTGATGGGGGACCCTGGCTTCCCCCTCCCCACAGACCACCCTGGTTCCGAATCCCCATGAGCTCTGACAATCTCCTTCCCAGTGGCGGCAGGGAAGCCTCGCCGCCCGCCCCGCTCACCGGGCTTGGCTGGAAATCCCTCCCTGCCCTGTCTTTGGGGCTCGCCACAGCCCTGTGCCATGAAGGACAAAGGATGCAGGCATGGCACGATGGAGGCACCACAGTCCTCTGCCACGGAATCCCCAGCTCCTGGACCTCCAGCCGGTACCGGCCACCTTGGTGCCAACCCCTGTCCACCCCAGCCGGGACTCGCTGGGTAAACTCCCTCCCGCTCCTGCGGCCCCGCTCCTCCTCCGGCAATGCCCCCGCCGCCCCGAGGGGCCACCCCGGCCGCCAGCGAGCTCCCCTGGCACTTACAGAAGACGTAGAGCGTCACGGTGGGTGCCACGCCAGCCCCGATGGCGTTCTTGGCTTCGCAGTGGTACTGCCCGTAGTCCTCGCGGCGAACGCCCCGGAAAGTCAGGATCCGCTCACTGCCTATGGCCGTCCCATCCTTGTACCAGTGGTACGTCGAGACGGGGGGGTAGCTGCTGGTCACCTCGCAGGTGAGGGAGACCGTGTCGCCCACGCGGATGTTCTGCGCAGAGCGGCTGACTGACACTTGGGTGTCCTTAGGGGCGTCTGCGGGGAGGACAGACAGACACGGCGGGCAGCAGTGAGGCTGGGCAGGACCCGCGGGACACTGCCGTAGCCCGTCTTGCTGTGTGTATGTGAGGGGAAAAGGGGAGCTGGAAAAGGGGGCAAAGCTGCCACACCGGCAGCGAAGAGGGGTGGGTGCGGCAGTGGGTGCCGGGACATGCCACGGAGCTGGAACCCGGCACTTCAGCAGCGTTTATGGGACTGACACCAGCCCTGGCCATGGAGAGCGGTGGGGGAACAGGAGAGGGAGGGAGAAGCAAGGAGGAAACTCTGCTCTGGCTTTTTGCAAGGGGCCCCAGGAAGGAGGCGGAGGGGGAGGCACAGTGGGCGGCAGGAGGGGGACCTGGGTGGTGCGGTTGTGGCAGAGGTGCCCCGTTCCCTCCTCCCCGCTCAGCCAGCCCCCGTGCAGAGCCTCCCCACGTGTCTCACCCGCCCGCAGGGCGACCTCCCCAGTCGCCTTCCTGGAGCCGTAAGAAACTTCACAGAGCAGCTTTTTGGAGTGATCCTTCCAGGAGAAGGAGGTGGTGAGGGTCAGGTGGTGGCCGACCCCACTCGTGTCCAGCTGGACGTGGCTGGATACCACCGAGACCTGGGGGTCGTAGCCCTCCCAGCGCAGGGCGATGTCTCCCGGCGGGCAGGCGTAGGGTGTGGAGCACTCCAAGGTGGACGTTTGCCCCTCGGTTTGCTCCTCGCTGGCGGCAGTACTCGGGCGCGCGAGGTCGTCTGGGGATGGAGAGGATGGAGGATGGAGAGCAGAGGGTGGACGTGGGGTGGGCAGGCGGGAAGCTGGGGGGGGGGGGGGCTTCGCCGTTGTGGGGGTGTGTCTCGCCGCTGTACCCACCCGAAATGCTCAGCATCACATCCCGCGCCGCCGACCACCGGTCACCGTTGACGATCTCGAAGCGGAACCTGTAGGGCCCGCTGTCCTCCGGCGTCACCCCCCTCAGCAGCAGGGTGCAGTTGCGAGCAGCAGGGTCCCCCAGGAGCTGAGCACGGCCCCTGAAGCGAGCATCCACCTCCTGGGCCGCCGAGTGGTACACCAGCGTTTTCTGGTTGTCGTAATCCTTGTACCAGATGGCCACGATGCCGTCGCCGGTTGCCACGTTGGCCGGGTAGCTCAGGGTGCAGGGAACCACTATGCAGGAGTCCCTGACGCCCTGCAGGACCTCGGGGTAGGCGACCCCCCACGAGCCGAGGGCTGCGTCGGAGGGGAGGCAGGTGGAAGGGGGGGGTCGGGCGGTGAGCCGTGCCGGGGGCCACCGCGGGCTGCAGCCCCCTGCTCCCCTCCGGGACCCACCCGGAGCCGCGTCACACCTCCTGAGCTGCCTGAACAGGAAGGGGGTCGTGGCAGG